ACTGAAGCCGGAGCAAGAATTCCCCAGCAAGTTGAGTGAGATTCACCTCTCCATATGAAGGACTTTAACACCGTGTGCTTGGTGGTACCTGTGTCCTACCCTGTCTGATGGTACCTGTGTCCTACCCTGTGTCTTGCGGTACCTGTGTCCTACCCTGTGTCTGGTGGTTCCTATGTATGTTGGTACCTGTGTCCTACCCTGTGTCTGGTGGTTCCTGTGTCTGGTGGTACCTGTGTCCTACCCTATGTCTGGTGGTACCTGTGTCCTACCCTATGTCTGGTGGTACCTGTGTCCTACCCTATGTCTGGTGGTACCTGTGTCCTACCCTATGTCTGGTGGTTCCTGTGTCTGGTGGTACCTGTGTCCTACCCTGTGTCTGGTGGTTCCTGTGTCTGGTGGTTCCCGTGTCTGATGGTACCTGTGTCTGATGGTACCTGTGTCTGATGGTACCTGTGTCTGATGGTACCTGTGTCTGATGGTACCTGTGTCCTACTCTGTGTCATATCCTGTGTCTGGTGGTACCTGTGTCTTTTCCTGTGTTTGGTGGTACCTGTGTCTCATCATGTGTCTGGCGGTTCCTGTGTCCTACCCTGTGTCTGGTGGTACCCGAGTCTGGTGGTTCCTGTGTCCTACCCTGTGTCTGGTGGTACCTGTGTCTCATCATGTGTCTGGTGGTTCCTGTGTCCTACCCTGTGTCTGGTGGTTCCTGTGTCCTACCCTGTGTCTGGTGGTTCTTGTGTCTACTGGTGTGTTTAGTTGATCTTGAGAATGTGGTAGTGTGGTCAGGTGACCTTGAGAGTGTAGTCAAGTGACCTTGAGTGTGTTGTTGTGGTCAGGTGACCTTGAGTGTGGTAATGCGGTCAGGTGACCTTGAGAGTGTGTTAGTCTGGTGTCGTAAGGTCATAATAATTAACAGTTAGTAGTGGCAGCAGTAGAGTTGTCCCCTCTTCACTGTAATTTTTCACGTGATTTCGTACAGTGCCAAGGAGTGCCTTGATGCCGGTACCAAGGAGTGCCTTGATGCCGGGAAGTTCTCTTGATTTAAGGAACTGAAACAATCCTTTGCTCTTAATAAAACATGATTTCCTACTATACACCAGGCGCTGTAAACCCAAATGGTTCATAATTAATAATAATGAGACGACTAAAATACCGGGATCAAGGGGTTAGTAACCCCTTCTGTATAAATTACTAAATATAAAAAAAAAAACTCTTTTTTTGTCACTATCTGGGTGGGAGACTGCTGGTACGTTAAAAAATAATTGTTTCAAAAGGTTGTAGTATATAACACCAACAACCTGGATGACCAGATAATCAACACAGAAGCTTGCGAGGGTAGAAAAGCCTTCGAAACCGGCCACATAAGTCACAGGAATGCAGGAGCACTGCAGCAGGCCTACTGGCCCATACTTAGCAAATCCTTCTCAGTTTCAATGTTTCACACCCACACGATAGTCCAGCTTGTTCAGTAGCTTCAGTAACACTATTAACTAATGCTAGGCAGCTCCTACTTGAATCCTAGCTGTCTCACATATTTGTCTAACCTATTTTTAAAGTAGCTCAAGGTTTTAGCTTCAATGGCCTTACCTGACAGGCCTACTGACTCATCTTGTGCGTAATAGTAACTCAGACAATGAATCACCAGTTCTTTGCTCTATGTTGTTGGTAGTAGAGATTAAGGATGATTCAATAAAGTGGCGCCCTCAGTGTTGCATTCTGTCTAGATCACTTCTTCTTTCAGTGCAGATGTTCCTCTTTAAATCTTTGTAAGACAAACATTTTTGTTGTTGTGGTTGTAGGCTTTGTATGCTTTTGGACTCGTGAAGAAAAATTCCTAACCGTTTCCTCTACATAGATCTTGTTTCACTTCTGTTTCACTGTTGGGGCTGTCATAGTGATCTTTCGTCCTGATGATGTCTCTGTTGTAGAGAGTTGTAATATAACCTGTAGACTCTTGTTACATACACGTCTTAACACGATCGCCTAGGCTTCAGATTTCTGCTCACCTTTACCCTCAAATATTTTTCACATTCTATATGATTAAGCTCTTGATCTAGTACATAAGCATGAGCCAAGGATTAAGACTTTGTGCTTACCCACATATGGATGAAAGAACACAAGAAAATACACGTGTTTACACTTGTATTCTATCATCCATACTGTAGACACCGTTATATCTTCTTTTATTTATCCACATGGAACGCCATCTGCTATCCTCCTCAGAATTTTTCTTTCGGTTTATCTTCATGTCATCATCAAACTAACTTGTTATTATAAACAACAAAGGGGCTAAAACTGATCCTTGTTGAGCGTCACTTGTGTCTGGTCTCCTGTCTGATTTCAACCCATTTATGCAAATTCTCGAAGTAGAAAAACTGTGGAAACTCATTAAAGATAAATCAACTGGCTGGCCATGACTCTCCATCCATGGCACAACTTCTATACTATGAGCAGTCCCCCTGGATCATGTTTCAGTCCCCCTGGATCATGTTTCAGTCCCCCTAGACTATGTTTCAGTCCATTATGGCCCATGTTTCAGTCCCCACTGGATCATGTTTCATTCCCCCCTGGATCATATTTCAGTCTCCCCCTGGATCATGTTTCATTCCCCCCTGGATCATGTTTCAGTCCTCCCCTGGATCATGTTTCAGTCCTCCCCTGGATCATGTTTCAGTCCCCCCTGGATCATGTTTCAGTTCGCCCATCTTCCTTAACAGTTGTTGTGTGCTACTCTATCAAAAGTCTTACCGAAATCCAAATAAACAACAACGTATTCTTTATTATGATCCACTGCTTTAAATACTTTACTAAATGACAATAAAGTTGTCATGCATGAACGGCCTCTCGTGAGTCCGTGTTGAGACTCAGTATATTATATGTACTCAGGTGACTTCTTATTATATCAGCTTAACTTGAACAATTTATTTACTGTAATAAAGTTGGTAGAATTACCGACAATATGTAAAGTAAAAGGACACAAGTGCAACTAATGTGACATTTATTGTGGCAACGTTTCGCTCTCCAGGAGTTTTATCAAGCCATTACAAACAATACATGGACACAGAGGGTATATAAAGGCTCAGAGTGAGGTGAATACTAGTGAGGTACCATTTCGATGTTCACTAGTGGTAGTAGTAGTAGTAGTAGTAGTAGTAGTAGTAGTAGTAGTAGTAGTAGTAGTAGTGACAAAAGTAATACAATATGGTAGAGCAATTAATTCGTATCCTTTTACTCATGTACGAATTAATTGCTCTACCATATTGTATTACTTTTGTCACTACTACTACTACTACTACTACTACTACCACCACTAGTGAACATCGAAATGGTACCTCACTAGTATGCACCTCACTCTGAGCCTTTATATACCCTCTGTGTCCATGTATTGTTTGTAATGGCTTGATAAAGCTCCTGGAGAGCGAAACGTTGCCACAATAAATGTCACATTAGTTGCACTTGTGTCCTTTTACTTTACAATTTATTTACTATTGAAGTCAGGTTTGATGAGTATGACATGCGCTACAGTTTGCTATCATTATAGATGAGACTTTTTCCCTGCTTAGCAGACATCTTCAGACTTCACCAGCATATTTTATTTGTGTAGTTCACCATCATATTTTGCAGTCTTTGAGACGTGAATGTCTCTGCTGGATATTTGCTTGTTTGAAGGAACGTGTGAGGGTTACACCCCATTACGTAGTCACAGCTGCCATGTATCTTCTTTTACTTCTATCAGCCGTGGCGGGAATGTCTGATGTCTTCAGCTCTTCAGAGAACCAGTCATCTTGGTGCTATTTTGTTATCTTTTGAGTCTTTTGTCTATCTAATACATATTTTTTTCAGGTATAGACATCATACCACCATTACATTTTTGCACGCGCGCGCGCGCACACACACCACACACGAGGGTCAGGGAAGACATGATAACGACATATAAAATACTGCGACGAACTGACAAGGCTGACAAAGACAGGATGTTCCAGAGATGGGACACAGAAACAAGGGGTCACAATTGGAAATTGAAGACTCCTATGAATGAAAGGGATGTTAGGAAGTATTTACTTCAGTCATAGAGTTGTCAGGAAGTGGAACAGCCTAGAAAGTGACGTAGTGGAGGCAGGAACCATACATTGTTTTAAGACGAGGTTTGATAAAGCTCATGGATCAGGGAGGCAGAGGACCTAGTAACAATCAGTGAAGAGGCGTGGCCAGGAGCTATGACTGGACACCTGCAACCACAAATAGGTAAGTACACACACGACCCCTGCAACCACAATCAGGTGAGCACACACACAAATATATATATATATATATATATTTATATATGCGCGTTTGAGTGCGAGCTTATTGATTTGCCATCTTGTATTTGCAGGGGTTGAGTCTCAGCTCCTGACCCCACTTCCTAAGATACTCCCCCATGCCATTAGTAGTTTCTGGCCTCATCGACACTTTCATACCCACTCTTGAGGCTGTGTATTTTAATTGGTTCCACTACACCCTCATCAATCTCAAAAAATATTTCCATCGGTTGGGACTAAAGAAGTACTTCCTAAAATCTCTATAAACATCTCTGTGTCCAATTTCCATCTGTGTTTTCTTGTATAGAGGTTCTCGCAGTTTAGGACCACAAAGACTGCTGCTCCCTAGCGCCATAGTAAGAGTCCCAAAAGATCAGAGACTTGTGTTCTTCAAGGCTAAAGTCTGGCGGGGATCCTAAGACTACAGCCTGGTGGGGTCCCTTTACACTAGTCTGGTGGTCGCTAAAACCATAGTCTGGTGGTCGCTAAGACCATAGTCTGGTGGTCGCTAAGACCATAGTCTGGTGGTCGCTAAGACCATAGTCTGGTGGTCGCTAAGGACCATAGTCTGGTGGTCGCTAAGACCATAGTCTGGTGGTCGCTAAGACCATAGTCTGGTGGTCGCTAAGACCATAGTCTGGTGGTCGCTAAGACCATAGTCTGGTGGTCGCTAAGACCATAGTCTGGTGGTCGCTAAGACCA